CTGCTTGATTATATGTCTGGTGGTACTCTTGGTGTTAATCTCTGCTTATCTGAGTGATGATTGCTGGTGAGATGTTCTGGTCTTTTGCCTTCCTTTTTATTGTCTCTTTTGAGTAGTGTGTAGATGTTGTTTATCTCTATGTGCCTGTTGATGGCTGCCTTGTCCGAATACCAAGGTTCCAGGCCTGGGACAGCCTATTACTTTTTAATCCCTCCTTCTAGGATTCTACCAGTGAGCCTAAGAACATACATTTCCATAACCTGCTAACTGCTAATTCAATCAGTAAGAGAAGGGCTATTCATTTTTAAGACCGAGAAACAGAATGGAAATAGATCTGGATGCACAAAACCCATTGAGGGGTAAAGATAAATCTCTTGCACGAGAAAACAGGAAATTGCCATGTATCAAGTTAAGACTAGCCTAACATCGCCAGTCCTACCTGATAGAGATTGAATCCCATATGCAAAGCATATGTTCTGCCACTGGGTCACAGTTACCTCTGATTTGGGTCAAGACTACCATGTTTTATTAACACTTACATGAACACACTGGAGCTTAACTAATGGTTGTATAATATTGCACTTTCTTTCCCCAGCTTCATCCAGCCCTCTCTCTCATTTGAATGCACCCCTACGTATTTCTTCCTTTGCTGAAGCAGCTAATTACCTGTTGGCAACTGTTCTAAAGCGACTGCGATGGGCAGTAAACTGTAGCTATTTGTTCTCCTCTTCCCACTCCATACTTGTACAAGAGGTCATCATTGCATTTGCAAATGCAGCTACTGCAGGACCATCTGAAGTGCTTTTTCTTTCTGGAAGCACCCTGTGATTGTTGGGGCATCCTCGATGTCAGCATCAGCCCTGCTAATGATGCAGAATGTCCCCCTTTATTATACCATCAGTGCGGGAATGTACAGGGAGGAGTAAATACCAATTCTCTAGCTGGGATTGAGCCCCTTGTCAAAAGAAAAATTGATGAGAGAACTTGCACAGCAGAGAACAAAACTGTTCCTATCGGGTCTGGAGGTGCCATTATCTAATTTACTGCTAGGAATAACAGCAGGGTCAAGAGACCCCATAACTAAATCTATCCATCACTGTCACTACACAGCCAGCACTTCTGCTCTATGCAATCACACCTCCTTGTTCCAAATTACTCTTTCTGTCTTGCACAAAGGCTTCTCTGTGTTGCTTGGCTGGGAGCTCTCTACCTACAGATACTGGCATAGTTCAAAGTAACCGAAGGGATTGCAAGATTGACAGAGCTTCTCCATTGGATATCCACCAGATGCACCATATTGCACACAACCACATGAAGTATTCCACTAATACACTGTCTGGTAAAGCTGGATTTAGCAACCTAATCAACTTGACCCCCAAGGTTCTAGTCCATTTTTCTTCTTTGCTATGATTTTCTAGTAACAGTCAGTGGTAAGCAGAACTACATGATGTGCTTAATCAAAGAGGGTTTTACCACTGCCTTCCTTCTATGTGTCAGAAGACTTCATCCACACGGTTACATCACATGTCTCTCTGCAATGTCCTGCAAGAAAGCCAAGCTCAAAGTCACATCACGTATGGGTGTTTTCAGAGGTTAATGGGTTGAATTGAGTTATTCCTCTGCTCAGCATGGAGCTTGTTAGCATTCACTAAACATTTCCAAAGGTGTGGTAGCCCTACTAGCTAAGTATTTACCACACATTTAAAATTGAGAAGAAAATATCCCAAATGTAGGAAATCAGTTCACATGAACATATTTATGAGTAGTTAATATGGAACAGTTTGCATGGCCTGAAAACACTCCAAAATCACCTCTCCTTCCAGAAAGTAACATTTAGTACCCCACTTCGTCACTCTTTGTGACATTGGCCTAGGCAAAAGATTGATACCTGGCAGCTCCTGAGACAGGAAAATGAAAAGGAGCGCAAGTGCTCCTTGGATGAAGACAGATTTAGCTCCACAACAGGCAAGTGTTGAATAATTCACCTTCTACTGCTGTGACAGGGCAACAGGGAGCAGCCAGAGCAGCGGTAGATGCAACTCTGCCCAAGAGCAAAGTTTCTTGGCTTCCGTGTCAGTCTGTTCTGGCTCTTTTTCTTGGATTCTGGTTGAAATATCTCCTTCCTCACCAGTGGGGAACTGGCAACATGAAATGGCCCTGGCAGCGTTTAAAACAATTCCTCATCCAAATAAATAATGACTTGGTTTTTCATTAGAGTCTATTACCTTGGTACACATTCCCCTGTCCTGACATCCTGACTTACTATGTCAAGAGGTAACTTCTTGGATTGTAGACATAAGCTGCAGGTTGTAAATTTGGGGAGCAGTAATCCTGAGACACCTTGAGGACTCTATCATTGCCATCCAACGAAGGGAGATTAAAGGGAAAGGAAATACAAAAGTAGGCTTAACTTCCCCAGTGAGCAAATCATTAATGATGCTATCTGAAAATACACATTTCCTAGCTGCACAGAAACAGCTGGCCTGAATAATTGGTCTTCCTCATCATCTAGGATTGATCTTGTAATATTAAAATGCATAGAGCTTAGCAAAACCATTTCTAAGCCCTACATTAATAAAAATATTCAAATTAAACTAATTATACCTAAGATGAATACAAGCCTTAATGTACTTTCTAGTATATTTGCAGTGAATTTGAGACAGCATTAGGAAGTTTAGAACTATGGCAGGATAACAGTAGCAGTGCAATTACTGGCTATTATGAGCCTTGCAAACTTATTAGATTCTACTTATACTGGCCATTCATTAAAATAAACCAGGAACATTTCATTTCAAGCCACATTTTTTTTTCAAATATGAAACTTGTTTTTCCATTAAAATGGAAAATGCAAACATTCATTATTATTTCTCATGCCCGTTTCTTGAATTATATCACAGCCTGAGTGATGTAGCTGTATAGTCTCTGAAATTTTTTAGTTGTTGTCATCATCCCATGCTCCATTTTTTCATGCATATGAATATGTATGAAGTCAACCTTCCTTCTCAGCAGCAGAGTAGGACAACACAGAACTTTTTAAAAGTTTCTAGAAGTATCTGTCATAGGGTCTTTATTCAAAAGACAGATACTTCTAGAAGTTTAAAACAGGGCAGGAATTCATAGGCATCTGCTGTATTTTTGTGTGAGTACATGACAAAAAACGTGACATTAAGCAAAACCCACAACAGTGCACTTGTGTCAATCAAGATACACGAGGATGGAGTTTGCATCATACCATCACTGTGCACGTGAGGTCGTTTTGTTACAGTTGTGGCTTGCTGCTAGTGCCACAGAGCAGGATGGAGATAACTGGTAATCAGAGGTGTCTGCAGGGGGATGAGGGGGCAAACGTAAGTGAAACTATCTGTCCCAACATCTGATGCAAGTACACAAGGGTGAAGTTTGCATCGTAACATCACTATGTATATATCATTTTGTGGTAATCTTGGTTTGCTGCAGATATCTATGCTGGTGACTCTTTTCTTAGCCATTATTGTTATTAGATATATATAAACACACACACACACACAAATATGTCTACAGGCTCATAGACAATTGGATCTATACATGGCAACTGCAGCGAGGCTATTATGTGCCCAAAGATGGAGGACTACAGAAAGACCAATAATGGAGGAACGGATGGCGAAGGTGGCTGAGTTTGCAGAAATGGCTAAATTGACTTCATTAAGGAGGGAACTACAAATACTTTTATAAAAGACTGGAAACCCTTTATAGACTTTTTTCTGAAAATGGATAAAAATGGACTGCTGATTTCGGGATTTATTGATTAAAAAGGTTTGTTTATGGGAAGAACTATGAGATGTAATATGGGAGGGTGGAGATGGTAATTGCCATGTTTGTAATGGCTGCAAAGAAGATCGGAAGTCGCTTCTTTAGGTATCTTTCTTTTTCTTGCTTTTTAGTTATTCCCTTTTTCTTTTTCCTTTTTATAATCTTTCTTTTTCTTGCTTTTTAGTTATTCCCTTTTTCTTTTTCCTTTTTATAATCTTTCTTTTTCTCTTTCTTCTATGTTTCTGTCGTTTTTTAAATCTTTGTAAAATCTTTGAATAAAAATTATTCATAAAAAAACATGTCTACAGAAAGATAAAAAGATGATAAGGGGAGTCCTTCTCTAACATCCAAGAACCAGGTGATCCTCATTCATAGAACCTTTACTCTGAGCATGTAGGAAGAGAAAAAGGCTACTGTTTCCCCTGCAAACCAAAAACAAAGCATAAAGGAACAAAGAAACCTGACTCTTGACTTCTGTATCTAGAAGAATAGGCCATAGTGGTCTAAACTGTATGATTCTCTGCAGTATGTGAGAATAAGTATTGTTCTCAAGGCCATATAGCAAGAACCGAGATTATAGAGAAATCAAACTCCTGTCACATTTTAAATTAAACTTCAGTGCTCAGGGTCTTGAAGATGCAGGTAACAAATCCTCTTAAGACAAATTGCTTTGTCCCCAAATAATAAATACATTTCAGGACAACTGAGGGTGCATTTCCCTGGGATATGGAGGACGCTATTAAAACAGGAGAGGGCTGAGCTGAATTGGCCAAGGCTGGGTTATTCTGAAGGTGATTTTATTGTAAGATCCACACTGCCAGTGTTGGCCTCTGTCTTCTCGTATCTATTGCAGCGCAAGGGCTACAGGGGTGGCAGCTTAAGGCAGCAGCATGCGGCGTAGCTCCTGGCTGGAGGTGACAGGCAGCGAGCAGGCAAAGTTTTCACAGACGTAAGCAGTGGCTTTTCCATCTTTCTTTTCCAGAGAGGAGAGGAAACCAAGCTGATGGTACAGGAATCCTGTGGTAGCCCCATCAGCAAGAATCAGCACCTGAAACAATTTTATCACAAAGCTTAGCAAGTTAAATAAGATCAGAGGCTAAGATCATGGTTATAATACAGTCTGCTCCTCCCCCAAGCACTAATGATCTGAGTAACACCGCGTAAAACCTTACAAAACTCAAGGTCAAAGTAACTGCTGATTTTTCCCTCCCATATCCCCAGGTACATGGAAAGCCTGTTGTTTTTATGGGCCACCCTACTACCCAAGATTTATTTATTTATTTATTAAATTTGTCCCCCCCCCCATCTCCCCCCAATGGGGGACTCTGGGCGGCTCACAACTCATTAAAAACAATAAATAAGTATACAATTAAAAGTCTATATACACAGTTACAAAAGATGCAGGAAAAAGTCCAGGAGGCTGATGGTTCAGGGCAGCAACACCCTGATTAGATTAGATTAGATTAGATTAGATTAGATTAGATTAGATTAGATTAGATTAGATTGGCCCTGACCCTGCTGGCCTTCCAGCAAACGCTCAAGACCTGGTTGTTCTCCCAGGTGTTTTCCCTGTTCCTATCTTTTTCCTGGCACCTCTGTAATGACACATCTCTCTCATCACTCACTATACTCATCATACTATCAGTTAACTGAGGTTGCCTTCAGGTTATATAGCATTACTGAAGCAATGTTTCCCCCTAATAAAATAGAAAAATTAAAGGAACTTCATTTAATAATAGCAATACATTATCCAATAATTTTCCTTTTATATTTATTCTAAAGTAAATCCAATTTAAAGGGGGGAAAGCTCATCTACAACTTTAGTTAGAAGCTTCCTTTTGCAACTTCTAATAGTACCCTATTCATGACATCAACTGTAGCTTCCTATTCAGAGAAAGATGGTTTCTCCTCACTGTTCCTTTTAATTGCAGTATAGACCTATTTCATAATTAAAAAGGAAAGTACATCAGTAATTTAAGCCCATCATTCTCTGCAGAAAACAGCAATTGACAATGAGACACTTAATTAGTATGCGTGTGTATATGCTCAAAAGAAAGATATTAACAATAGAAACTAGAAGGAGAAAGCTTCTAATCAAAGACTTAGCACTTCTAAAAAGACTCAGTAATGCTTTAGCTGCATGCTTAAACCTGGTATTGTGAGTGAATTTTACATTGAAAAATATACCACAAATACATTCCTCAAAAAGTTAGGAAGAGACCGTAAAAAATAATGAAGGCAATGGGTTGGCAACAACATATGGAGTCTCCAAAAAAAGAGCAATATTTTAAAACTAAATAACTTGTGATAGGATTGTTTGGGATAGAGGAATCTGTCTCACTATGCAGGCATTTCAGCTAGCTCCAGATCCCTTCCAGTCATAAGATTCAGACAATGTACAAAGAGAGTTTTTGGAACAATCAGCAACTTCTTCCTCTGTTCTGTTTTCCTTGCAAGGGAACATGCATTGCAAGCAATACAATGGTCTCTATCAGCATTCTAGACAGACTGAGGTAAGGTGTAACATCTTGATTTTAATAAGATACAATGTATGTCAGCTGTCTCCCATCTCAGGTGTTCGGGAACTCTAATGCGGTCAAACTGAATTGATAAACTTGAACCATATAACAAAGCTGGGGGATAGGTTTTGACTCAAATTAACCAACTATAAATAACAGCCTCTGAAACAATCAGATCGCCCAGCTCTCTACACAAGCCTGTAGTATTCTCCTGGTTCAACACTGACTAAGGAGATATGTCACCATGACTTATTCAAGTCAGTTTCTCTTTTCACAGCTCCTGACACTTGTGATCTGGGGCTCTGAGCTGTGCTGCAGTTTGGTGAAGGGAGTTTGTGTCCCTGCTCCTACTTCCCTGCTGCCCTCTCCGCTTCTAATCCATCTGTGCCACAACTAATCTGTAATCAACATAACCATGCTGTTGCCACCCCCACTTGCCCAGCAGTCTTCAAAAACATCCCTCTAATTGAACTCAAACTGCATTAATCACTTTTGCAGCATGCCAACTTCCTGTACATAGGATCTGAAGTCTGAGCTAGTGGCCTATCCCTGTGCTGCTCCCCTGAATATTAAATTGCTGCAAGATTATGTGAGGAGCTGAATATTAAGCTAACAGCAAACAATAAATACTAATCTTATGGGAGCTTTTCTATGTCCAAAGGATGAGGCTGACATAAACAACAGACTAAAAAATAGGTCTTCATAGGAACGCCCTCCTGAGGGAATGGCCTGGCCAACAGACTTCTTCCACATGAAGCCATTCCCATAGGAAAGTTCCTTCCTTCCATTCATAATAAAAAGAAGTGAGCTGTACATGACAAGCATGGTTTCCAACTAAAGGAATCAACTATATAATGTGTTAGGCCTTTCTCACTAATGTTAACATTAGTGGGTAGCACGGCAGCATTCCCTGATAGCATGAGGGAATTGTTATGAAGGACAGAAGCTCTCTATTACAGAATAGAAGAGAAACAAAACATCAGAAATACTTGCATGGCTTTTCTCAGCCTGTTCTTTGGCATATCTAGCACTTCCCACAAGAATATTCACATTATTTCAAAAAGGCCTTTGTCTCCCATCATATTGCTTTTATTTCAGAAGCCTATCAGAAAAGGCAAGAATATCAATAATTATTAATGAAGATGGTTTACAGCCAATTAGATACCATTTATGTCCCTATAAAGCTGGGATGTCTATTAATCCTGGTTTTCTGTAAATAAACACTGTGCTGATGGAGACAGGCTTCTTTCTTCTGCTTTGCTCATCCCTTCAAGAAACAGGTAAAAACCAATATTGATGCATTTGCTTATTTTGACATTTAAATTCAGGGCCTGGTTTTCTGTTCTCAAAGATGGTCTCTCATTTCTACAACAATTCAACCTCTTTCCTAGTTAATCTGCCAAAATGAAGCTATACAGAGAAAACAAAGCTTGACAAATTCAACACATTATTAATGCCCAGGAAGATGTTTTTATTTAGAATAAGTCAGAAATAACAGCCTCTTAATAACTAAATAGTTTTACTATGTAAACAAGTCAACCACATTTTCCTGTTTTAACTCCACGTATGGGAGATCAGAATTGCCAATGTTGCCTTCAAACTCACAACTTCATAAGGTTATCTTCTGCCCTGAATATTATTCATTCCCATAGACAAGTCATTTTTTGTAAGTCTCAGGAAATAGGTTTCCTATCCTAATTCAGTTCATCTTCAGGAGAAGATATGACACAGAACAGATGATTCTTCATTCTGAAGTTGACAAGATAACATTCTGCAGAATATTTGAATCTTGTTTCCCACCAGCAGTCTTTGGGGTAAGATACCAGCTCAACTTTATCTGAACACATAGGCAAGTATTTTACTGATCCATATAAGGCATTAGGGCAACTAGGGAAGTCGCCCCTACAAGAGGGTCAAGGCATACTCTGTTAGATGTGTGACACTACCCACATGATTTTGGAAAATTGTTCTTTTGCACTAGAGGAATCAACATTGCAAGCTGACCCTTCTTCCTGCTGATGTGAAGGGCATTCCCCAAAGTTCTTTATTCTCTTTGAACAGGAGATCTATGATAATAAAATTCTGGTTAATACCACAGTGTCCAGTGAGTTCCACAGCCCCTGTACCAATCCAATATCAGATCTTATGTTTTGCCTTTCAGACAAAAACTGGTCAGCTCTTGGGAATTCTAACTCCTCCTGCTTGTCCACTGTTATTATACTTGGCTTTTTAATGGCTTTTTCTTAAGTATGTTACCTACATTCCCAGCCTGCTCAAAACCTGCACCCTTCTCCATAGGGACATTTAAATTGTAAATGCCTTTATGTTTTCCTCCTTCCTTCTTTCCCACTCATCTTGTTGGTTTAATTATACATGCACTGTAATTGAACTATACCTGACTGCTTCTCTAAATGTTATTTCTGTTATGCAGACCTTAACCTCAGGGCGTGTTAGACTCCATTCTGACAAGGGCCTCCTTTTTTCCATTTTCTCTCATTTAGCACATCTATGAAAAATGCCCCTCATCGTTCCCTCCACAGTTCAAACTGGGGCCTCCGGAATGTTTTCTTGTCCAGTTCAAAGTTGCAGTAGCTCCTGCTACAGAGTCATGAGGTCACCCCTAGCATGCCTGAGAAATGAATGACTGCAGCACTAATTAATTTTTGCAATACAGAAATTATTATTAGCTCTCCTGGGTCCTGGAAGCTAATGGAAAGAGCACTGGCATGAAACTTGGCAAGACTGAGTATCATCTACCTTTTGATCAAGGTGTAAAGCAGAACTAGCTTTGTTGAAATAAAAAATGATGGAAAATGCACCAAGCATCTTTGCTATTAAAATACAAAGGCTTCCCTCCTACACTGACTAGTTTATACAAGGGATAAACATTTTATTTCTTCATATTTATTGGCTGCCCAACTCCAGTGGACTCTAGGCGGTGTACAAAACTAGAGAAAGCATATTAGATCACAAAAGCAAAGGTGACACCTTAGTACAGTCTTCTCCAACCAGGTTCATTCCACATATTTGGGCTTCAACTATATGAATTGAAATTCAACCACAGTTGGAGGAGAAAGACTACTGCACTGTGTGCATGAGAGACAGAATGCATGTGCACTCTCATGCACATACACACACACATTTTTTTTTTAAATAATGCAACCAACTAAAAACTAAAAAAATAAACTCAGTAAGCTAAAAAAAAAGCAACTATCAAACTCAGAAATGTGTTTGTGAGAGATGTGTTTGCATTATTTTTCACATCAAATAGCATGGAAAGAAGCTGACAAGTCATTTCTGAAACACTAAAAAGCTCACTAAGATACAGGAAAGTAAGGGAAAGCAGCAAACACACATACATAATTCCAAATAAAATCAATATAGTCATCATAGCTAAGCTACTTATTACCTGTTTGAATAAATGCGTCTTCACCACCCTACGTCATATATATCAACATGTTTTCTATTTACCCCCAGTATCTACTGTACATGTAATTTGTTGCACTTTTTCAGTACTGTAAGGTAAAAA